ATGCTACAGCGGGAATTGTCGGGGGCTGTGGTTGGGAATAAGTGGTGGGGGATTCTCTGAAATCTAAACATTTAGTCTTTTGCTGCTGATTTTAGTCGATGACTCAACCTAGCAGGGTTAGCAGAATGTCTTGCGAGGCTACGAATATGGCCGCTTCATTGCGTGCAGAGGAAGCTTGTAGGGCATCTAGTCGGCATATCGCGAGCATCACATTGCCGGACAAGCGGACTGTGACTACAGACGTGGGCATTTGTGAGGCTTTTCGCGACTACTTTCAGGAGCTGTTTACCAGGGAGCCCGGTCTGAGCGCTGCTCAGTTCGACGCCTATTTAGCCGACTTTCCCCGCCTCGAGGCGGCTGAAGCGGCTGTGTGCGAGGGTCCCATTACAGAGCCTGAGATAGGGATGCGCTGAAACAGGGTGGCCTGGACAAGACTCCGGATTAGATGGTCTACCTTACGAAATGTACTTGAGGTAGTCACCCGTCTTTGTCCCCTTGCTAGTGCTGATTTACAACTGGGTGAAGTAGGGGTCTATACCTCAACATTTCACCAGGGGTGTGATCAAGTTGCTTCGCAAGAGCAAAGACGGTGGGGATGGGTTAGATAATTATCGGCCTTTGACGATGTTAAATACAGAGTTGAAGATTTTCGCCAAGGTCTTAGCCGCTCGTTTGCAGGCTGTCCTCTCTAGTCTGATTGGTCCCGAGCAGATTTGTGCTGTGAAGGTCAGGACTATTCAGGACAACCTTCATTTGGTACGCTTGATCATCGAGCAAGTCGACAGTGATGCCGCGATGATCAATTTAGATCAGTCCAAGGCTTTCGGTAGGGTTGATCATCGATTTCTGGAGCCTGTCCTTTCGGCCGCCGGTTTCGGGCCGGACTTTCGCACTTGGATCCGACTGTTGTATGCGTGCCCCGGTGCGCTGGTAGAAGTGAATGGGGTAAGATCGAAACCTTTCATTTTGTCTCGCTCCATTCGTTAATGTTGTCCGCTGTCTCCATTGCTGTACGTTCTTGCGTTGGAACCTTTCCTGCGTAAGTTGAAGACGAATCCGGTCCTTCGCGGAATTTCTTTACCTGGTGCTACCACCTCGGCCAGGTACTCCGCCTATGCCGATGACGTTTCGGTACCCAGTGACGGAGATGTAACAAAAGTACATCTGAATTCCACAGATGAATTTCGTATTGGTGTGATTCTATTTGTCGTTGCCACGGTAAAACGGAAGAAAGTTTTGTTAAAACATAACATAAGTGTTATGTACCGAGAGACATTGAAACGAGAAGAAAAAACTCATGGGAAGAATCGAGTATTTAATTTACACATAAACGACTTGAATTGTATGTCGAGCAGTTTGAACAATGGAATATTGCTTAGGGAGCAATATTGATTGACACACAGTTGCAGATGAAAGCTATAAAGCGAAAATTTCATTTTTCGTAAACAACGAATTTGGAGTTGATTCCCCTGATCGAAAGTTGAGTTGAAATACCAGGAGGGGTGGATAAGCCACCCACGCTCACTGAGGAGATGCGCGAAGCGAATTCGGCAGACGAATCGCAGACGAGAGATGAGACAAAGATGAGATGGCAGAGAGTTCGTCCCAGCCACCGGACGTGATACACTCCACGTGAACCTCCTTGCCGAAGAGAACCCCCCCCCAACTTCTGCCTTGTGCTGAACGTTACCAACAACAGCAAACCAAATTTTGCCAGGTCAACAGCAATATCACTTCCGATTTAGATGCGGGTTTGGCTGATAATTAATTGCATGCGAACTCTAATATAAACCAATTATTGTACGGAGGACTGATATAAAAACAGTATTTACTTTTGTTCAGTTTATTCGAGTGCTATTTTTTTCCTGTACATATACGCCCAACACGAAGATACCTGCGACGATTCGATCTTGGCTGCCTTATGATCAACTTAAATCACAACGTGAAATAGGGTTAGCTCTGAATTGAAGCGCTCACTTGAGCGACCAGCTGCGGTGTTGGAAGTCTTGGACGACCGGAGAGGGTGTTGCACGATTACATTGTCACCTTTTACACGATTGTTGACAAAATTGAGATTGAGATGAGAAGAAGAGGAGAGATATACAAAAATATTTTCTTTTCTATGTGATATCACTTATAATGACTTCTACTGAAATTTAAAGGTATTCTCAGCTGATTGATGTTTCACTTATAAGTGTGTCATAAGTTCAGTGCAGCAAACAAATGCAAAAACAAGATTCAATCATGCTGAACATTATAAAATAATTGTAGAAGACAATATTGAGTGGCACACTAAAACAATATAGTCATTGCCTTTCGTATGACATGTCACCAAGACTGATTTATCAATTAGCATGTAAAACTTTACGAAGTATCGAGTGATCTGACTTCGTTCCAGACCTGCTTTGGGTGTTGGCTGAAATTGCTATCTGTCCTAAACTCTGCAACTGTAATTTCCCCCAATAATGATTTCAACGCGTGAAATTAAGTGTCATTAACAGTGTTTGAAAGATCCAAAAAGAAGATGATAAACGGCTATACGACCTGCTTCAAAGATGTTGCACAGTTGGGGTCAAACTGAACCCGAACAAGTTTGGATACAATCACTTTTATGGGACACCTCATCATTAGGTGAAGCATTGAGGTAAACTCAGAAATGTAAGAAAATATATTAGACCTACGTTGATTCCTTGACATAATAAACTGTGTAGGCTAAGTTCGTTCATCATATGACCTCCATAGTCAAACCATTCATGACATGAGCAAAAATGGCGTGGGCAGATTCCTAGCAAACTGCATTTGACATGTTCTAGTAGTCTATGATCTCCAAAAGAAATTAAAATTGGAAAATGATGCCTGGGAACATGGCTTGGGGTGGCCCTAAAACTCTCAAAAACTTAACGGCGGTATGTCCAGATTAAGAAAGAAATGAATATGGCAGTTGTGTACGGACTTGAGCAGTTTCACTCATGGTAAAAAAAAATGGGTGTTGTGATAAATCACAAAATTCTGGTGGCAATATGTATGAAACTTTTGGTAAAAGTACGCAAGCGACTATAAAACCACTTGATCACAGCATTACAGATCACTATACAGTACAAACCAGGAAGGGAGATGCTCTATTTCGAGCTTCCATAAGCAAACCAGAAAACAAGCAGTCAACAACCTCACAGTACAACCCATACAAGACAACCGATGGATACATATGCGCTGGACGATAACAGAGCACCCAACTATGACAGCATGTGCTGAAGCTATTGCTATTGCTCCCTAAAACTATTCCTTGACTACAGGGATGATGTGACAGCGAAAAAGTAAGCGTCTGGAGAGGGTCCATTTATAGGCCTACTGAACCTCCGCAACTCGCTAACTGAACAACACAGTACAAAGGCTCTTTGTCAAGTGTACAAAGTCAATGATTCCAGTGACGAGGATACATCTCAGACTAATGCTACAAAATAAAAGAAACTAAATCGACAAGACACGAGCACAGAAATGAAAATCCTCAAGAAAAATCACAATGGCTGTGTCCAGCCACTAACGTCACAAGCTGGAGGATGTAGGGAAGCAACGATCACAAAACTAACCGTTCATATGAAGTACAAATTAGGAATGACCACAAGTATCAGCACAAAAAGCGATCGCTGCGCCAAACCTCACACGCCACACACCGCAACAACCAACATCAACAGCTATTCGGAAGCAACAACATGCAGAGAACCCGACACTACCGACAGAAACAGAAATACTGGAAGGTGAAGCAACAACAAGAGAAGAACAGTAGCAGAAAACACAATTTACACATAGAAATAACAAATTAAAGCCAAATTTATACAATTATTAGAAAATATATCTAATATATTTAAAAAAGGAACACAAATATACCAGAGTGCTGACAATTATCGAAGCGACTCTCGCTTGCCACATATGTCTACAACTACGTCCGCGCATTTCCATTATATAGGTTATAAGAGAAACCGGACGGCGGGGAGACAGAGAGAGAGAGAGCAGAAAGAGACACTTCATACACACGTGCGCGCTACCCGAGAGCATGACTGACTGCTTGTCCAACCATTAGGCTGTGAAAGCAACTTCCCGTGAACACAGAAACAGAACTGACTTAACTATCCTAGACCAATAGTCAATAAGCAATCAGCCGGATTAAACATGCTCCTTTTTCAGACTCTAGTTTCATACCTCGTACACTATACCACTTAGCAGATACTTTTTTCATATCTTGTAAATGAAAATAAATCTTTGAACTTTTCTGCAAACAAGTGTCTAATTTTTTACTTTACTTTAACCAACTTACATCTATGATCAGAACCGCCAACAACCATCAGACCAATACAAACACACTCAGAACGAACCATCAACTCGATATGGAGATGAATGAGTAGCAGTGAACCAAAGTGCCTATTTGTGGACTACTCTACTACCTCCCAACATAGCTCCAACTTTTTTCATTCCTTACACCTGTGTACCTAACCCAGCTTCAGCTTCCGTATCCCCACCTTCTTCCACACTGACAAAAATAAATAATTGAATTAAAATAAGATCCAAGGGGAGAGAGATGTTACGTGTGTAAGCAATAAATGCCTCTAGTTATGTCCCCTAATTTGTGGATTCTTCCTGACCTTTGGATATACTAATAATTTCCTGTACGATACCAATGAAAAAAGATGCGTTACTATTCGTAATACAGCTTGCTTTAGTTCTTTATCTTGTCGCAGTGTGCCCAAACACCACTCCCACCGTTTCTTAAACAACCCCGGCTATGCCTGCCGATAGAGAAAGCTCACGGCCCTTGTGTGCTAAAAATAGCAACGACACCCTTTCAAACTGACAGAAACACACAAAACTCAATTCGCCACTAAACAAAAATAAAAGACCTTTAATTTCGAGCCGAAATTAATTTAAATACAGTCAACAAACACCGAACACACTTTTGACTGTAATTAATACGGCCCGAAATTAATTATATTCATTTACTTGTTTAGCGTCACCGCTTTCTCTTGTATGAACCGTCATATCTAGATCCCAGCTCACTTCCAGCGGTTTTTAGCACCCTGAGCATCCAGCCTCCCCTGATTCGCGACTTTGACGCGCCCAGCTCAAGTCGACCAAGCCCAGCAGCGGACTCCAGACCCAGCCAGTAGCAGCAGTCGTTCAAACAGTCCTCTTCACCTAACTTCCAGCACCATTCGATCATCCACTCTTCGAGGCTCCACTCACGTCCAGCGCTTCGCTATCTGCCTTCCCTCTGTGACAAACCAGCTCACTCCTGCAGCTTCCATCCACTCCTGCACCTTCCAGCATTCCTGCAGCTTCCAGCACTCCTGCAACTTCCAGCACTCCTTTGCCGTTTCCGACCATCTTCATTTCCTTTTCCTTTTCGAATAAACCTCGGGCACTACACCTCTCGTATATCATATAAAAAAAAAAAAAATTGGTGACCCCGACGTGATATATGGACACAACGGCTCAAACGGCTAGCAGAGAAGATGGCGGAACACACTGAAACACACTAAATCGCCACATCAGCCGCCTGATACACTTCGTTGAAGGTTTTTAGTCGGCCTTCTCAATACCCCGGACCAACCCGGCCTTCGTGCTGGGTTGCGACCCCATAGCAAACCATCCCAGTTTTCCGCATATCAAGACCTGCTAAGACAATACCAAGACCAACTTGGACCAGAATGGATCGGTTACCACCGAATATAACACAAGTTCTAGCCCTGGTACCAGTAGAGACGCCCCTTGACGTTGATATATTCCCAAGACCAAAAGTTCACCAGGTTGAGAGCCAAGGAAACCGCCTCCTCGGAACAACACCGTGGCAGAACCCATCCTCCCTATGGGGCTATGGATGGATCGGTTACCACCGAATATAACACAGTTCTAGCCCTGGTACCAATAAGGCCCAGGGAAACGAATAGACCGACAGGCAGCGACGACGATCCCTGTCGGTACTCGCTCACACAGTCGTCTCTTCTACGTGTGGGACCGTAACAATGGCCTCAAATTCCTAGTTGACACTGGCGCAGCCATCAGCGTAATACCACCCACCAACAGATCCGCCTTGAAACCCACCCCATTCCAACTTCGAGCGGCATACGGCTCCACCATAGAAACCTATGGGAACAAGGAACTTACCCTGAATATCAACCTCAAGCGCGACTTCAAGTGGATATTCACCGGAGTTGACGTCAGGATACCCTTGCTCGGTGCCGACTTCTTGGCGCATTACAACCTGGCTGTCCATATGAAGACAAGGACCCTGTCCGACAACATGACAACCATCAAGATCACAGGGATCCCATCGAGCTTCAACACAACTAGGATCAGCGTGGCAACACAGCACGACCCACGCTACGTAGAAATCCTGCGCCGGTACAAGCACCTCACGCAACCCATCAAACCAACTGATGCAGGCGACCATCAGACCCAACACCATATAAAGACCACCGGACAACCAGCATATTCACGGCCACGACGACTCCCTCCACACAAATTAGCATATGCCAAGAAAGCGTTTGAGGAGTTGCTGGCCGACAATATCATCCGACCCTCAGACAGCCCATATGCCTCACCACTGCATCTGGTACCCAAATCCGACGGGGATTTCAGGATCTGCGTGGATTACCGGAAACTCAACGCGTCCACAGTGCCCGACCGGTACCCTGTTCCGCACATCCACGACTTTGCCTCAGGTTTACAGGGGGCCCGCATTTTCTCAAAAATTGACCTGACCAAAGCCTACTACCAAGTTCCAGTCGCTCCGGAGGACATCCCAAAGACAGCAGTCACAACCCCTTTTGGACTGTTTGAATTCCTAAAATGCCCTTCGGACTGCGCAACGCAGCCCAGACGTTCCAGAGGCTGATGGACGAAGTTCTGCGTGGACTACCATACGTCTACGCATACATTGATGACATCCTAGTGGCTAGCAGAGACGCTGATCTCCACAAACAACACCTGGAGGAAGTGTTCCGCCGTCTAACACATTACGGCCTCCGAATCAACCCAGACAAGTGCGAATTCGGTGCACAACACATAGACTTCCTCGGACACCACACAGACGCTCAGGGAATCACTCCACTTCCCGATAAGATAAAAGCCATACAGGATTTCCCGATGCCCACATCGATAAAGCAACTGCGACGCTTCTTGGGGATGGTAAATTTTTACCGCAGGTTTATCCCCGGATGCTCAAAACTCCTCACCCCCTGACAAATCTTCTCCAGAGAAAAAACAAAGCCATCACCCTGGAGGGCGACCAGGAAAAATCATTCCAAGCAGCAAAAAACTTTTTAGCTAACTTTACGAAGTTAGCACATCTTAACGAAGACACCCGGACTCAGATATATCTAACAACAGATGCCTCAGACACTGGAGTTGGAGCTGTGGTAGAACAGGAGGTTGACGACCAACGCAAACCCATCGCATTCTTCTCTGCTAAATTATCACCAGCCCAGTCCAGATACAGCACCTTCTCGAAAAGAACTTTTGGCTATATACCTCGCCATCAAACACTTCCGACATCTACTGGAAGGCCGGAATTTCACCGTTTTGACCGACCACAAACCCTTGACAACTTCCCCTGTCGAACAACTCGGACAAATATACGGCTCGCGAGATCAGACATCTAGACTATATCTCACAGTTCACGTCCGATATTCGTTATGTCAAAGGAAAAGACAACTCTGTTGCCGATGCCCTATCCAGATTTGATGTCAACACAGTGCAAGACAGTCCACTCAGCCAGGACCTGATAGCAGAGGCCCAGGAATCCGACGCAACCCTCCCTGAAGTCCTAGCCAACACATCCCTGCAACTGAAAGAATTTCCGGCACCCTTCAGCAACAAAATATTGTACTGCGATACAAAACTGGATCACCCTACACCCTACATACCTCCGGCACTCAGAAGGCAAGTTTTCAACCACCTCCATGGATTGTAGCAAGCGCGCTACGGTCAAACTCATTGCCGATCGTTTCGCGTGGCCCAACATGAATACTGACATCCGTAATTGGGTATCAACTTGCCTTAAGTGCCAGAAATGCAAGGTACACCGGCACACAAAATCCCCGCCAGGCACATTCAGCAACCCTGACGCACGCTTCAGCCACATCCACATCGACATAGTGGGACCCTCCCAATGTGCCAGAATTATCAGTACCTCCTCACAGTGGTTGACTGTTTCTCCAGGTGGCCAGTAGCAGTACCCATCAGAGATACCTCGGCTAGCACGGTAGCAAAGACCATCCTTCAGGAGTGGATCGCAATTTTTGGCGTACCCAGCATCATCACCACAGACCGCGGCGCGCAGTTTCAGTCCTCACTCTTTCAGGAATTCACTCAACTGCTCGGCGTCAAACACATCAAGACCACCGCCTACCATCCCTGTGCCAACGGCCTTGTGGAAAGGTTCCACCGAACACTAAAGGCCTCTCTAACTACAAAACATCCCACCAGCAACTGGGTAGACGAGCTACCCCTAATCCTTTTGTCAATCCGCAACACACTCAAAGAAGACTTAGAATGCACTCCAGCCGAAATAGTCTTCGGTACAGCACTCTTTTACCCGGCCAATATTTCGACGACACCATACCCAACCTAACCACTGCAAGTCCTTTCACTCAGGAACTTCGCCATAAAATGGCCCAACTGAAGTATACACCACCCAGGCAATCATCACCAACTATCCACGTTCCACAACAGCTTCAGGACTGCGAGTTCATTTTTGTCCGAAAATGACGCGGTAAAGAAACCACTAACACCAACATACCAGGGTCCATTCAAAGTCTTAAAACGCTCTGAGAAGCATCTCACCATTGATCGAGGAAGCCGGACGGACACCATCTCCATCGACAGAGTCAAACCAGCTTTTCTGGAAAAATCCCCACACGGAGGCAGAACCCGTCTCAACACACCCAGAACCCTCACCTGCCTCAACAACCACGCAATCGCAACCATCACAACCGAGGTCAGAGCCAATCCCAGAATCACCCATCACTCCACCTAGGCAGACCCGTCTTGGAAGGAAAGTCACCTTCCCTAAGAAGTACAAGACATATATTTTCTTCTAATTGATAATGATCAATTATCCTGAGAGAGGGCCTTGTCGCAGTGTGCCCAAACAGCACTCCCATCCGTTTCTTAAACAACCCCGGCTATGCCTGCCGGTAAAGAAAGGTCACGGCCCTTGTGTGCTAAAAATAGCAACGACATCCTTTCAAACTGTCAGAAACACACAAAACTCAATTTTCGCCACTAAACAAAAAATAAAAAAGACCTTTAATTTCGAACCGAAATTAATTTAAATACAGTCAACAAACACCGAACACACTTTTGACTGTAATTAATACGGCCCCAAATTAATTATATTCATTTACTTGTTTAGCGTCACCGCTTTCTCTTGTATGAACCGTCATATCTAGATCCCCGAGACTTCGCAGCGGTTTTTAGCCGGCCCGGGGAGCAGCCCTCCCCTGCCGCGACTTTGACGCGCCCAGTCAAGTCGACCACCCAGCAGCTGGGGACCCAGCAAAGTCAGCAGTCGTTCAAACAGTCCTCTTCAGGGCTAACTTCCGAAAGTCATTCGATCACCACTCTTCGACCAGAACTTTCGACTACTGCCTTCCCTCTGTGACCAGCTCACTCCTGCAGCTTCCACCACCTTCCAGCATTCCTGCAGCTTCCAAGCTCTTGACCAGCACTCCTGCACCGTTTCCGACCATCTTCATTTCCTTTTCCTTTTAGAATAAACCTCTGTATATCATATAAAAAAAATAAAAAAGTGGTGACCCCTGACGTGATATATGGACACAGGCAAACGGCTAGCAGAGAAGATGGCGGAACACACCGAAACAGAAATCAACACATCAGCCGCCCTGATACACTTCGCAGCGGTTTTTAGCCGGCCCGGGGGAGCAACCCGGCCTTCGTGCTGGGTTGACCAGTCTAGACCATATCAGGACCTGCTAAGACAAGCCAAGACCAATTTGGACCAGAACTTTAAGCTTTGACCAGCTTGGACAAAAATGACCAAAACATTGTGTCTTGACCAGCTTGGACATGTTATGACCAATCTTTGACCAGTGACCCTATGGGAAACGCTTGGGTTTTTCCCAAAAAAAACGACCTTGTGTCAACTTGACCGCGTGGGGTCAACCCACGAAAAACGACCTTGTGTCACATCTTGACCTCGTGGGAGTCAAGTAAATACCGCCGGCCCGGGAGCAGGGAAGCCTCCCTGATTCGCGACTTTGACGCGCCCAGTCAAGTCGACCAAGCCCAGCAGCTGACGGGACCCAGCAGCAGTTGTTCAGTCGTTCAAACAGTCCTCTTCAGGGCTAACTTCCGAAAGTCATTCGATCACCACTCTTCGAGGCTCCACTCATTTCACTCTTCGCTACTGCCTTCCCTCTGTGACGCCAGCTCTCTCCTGCAGCTTCCAGCTCTCTCCTGCAGCTTCCAGCTCTCTCCTGCAGCATCCAGCACTCCTGCACCTTTCAGCTCACTCCTGCACCTTGCAGCACTCCTGCACCTTTCAGCACTCCTGCACCTTCCAGAACTCCTGCAGCACTCCTGCAGCCTTCAGCTCACTCCTGCAGCTTCCAGCTGCACTTCCATCCTCCTGCAGTTTATATAAATCACCCTGCGGCGCTCTACCGACGTCCACCTATTCCAGCACCCGCTGACGACCTAATCCAGTGCCCACTGACGTCCAGCGCCCGTTATCGTCCGCACACCGTTCCCAAACAAACGACCTCTGTCTTCTTACCATCCACCGTTCGCAAATAAAGACACGATTTCCATCGTCTACAACGGACCATCTGCGTTTGTCATCCTTCTTTGCTATTGCCATCTCCTTGCCTATGTGTCCCCTTTTTAGTTGTACGGTCGATTGGCACTCACACCTCTCGGCCCGCTGCAACAATCTCTTCGGGACTCTAGACGGAACAAATTCCTTGAAATGTGCTGAGTGGATGTGCAATCCTCGACCTATCGTAACTATGGTCGATACATCACAACTTGAAATGCAGATTTCTTTGGATATCGAATCTGTTGTCTTTTTCTCTGAACGGAATAGCTACTGGCCATCTTGTAAAACAGTCTATTATTCAGATGTATGGCCATTGATGAAGAGGTGGGATAATTTGATCAATGTAAATGCTAAAAACGATGGTCTGGTTCCTCAAATTTATCCTGCGGTGATTCCATATGCCTGGATAACGCTGGTATTGTACGTAGATCTGTGTCCATACGCTAACGTCTTTTTAGGCCAGATGAAACGATCACGAATCATTTTCATTGTGGCTTTTTTCAGGATGTGCTATGTTATGGAAATGTTTGAAGATAATCCTTTGCATCCTAGTTGGGAAATATATGTTTGATTGTTGGGTGATTTCGAGGAACATTATTAAGGAACGAGAATAATAGAAACGTAATCAAGTAGACAGTAGATAACAATTGACATTGCATTTAAATGTTTGAAGATCAAAGTTGGCTGGAAAGCGTGGGACCGGAAGAGAATTCTGTCGTATCTTACAGGTATTCTCACATTTAAAAAAAAACAACCGGAAGAAGAAACTTCACCTTCTAGGACCGGTGACTGTTATAAAACTGATTCAGCATATAAAAAGGACTCAAAATGGATCATCCGTGACGAAAATGTCTGGATATGTGTAGTTGTAGTGAATACAAAATAACTCCCTTTGCCCATTCGCTTCAAATTCAGATGAGTTGAGGAAAAAAAATACGAAAAGAAATTCGCGAGCCTATGTGAAATTTTCTTTGGAACAATGAAAACCTTGCCTTCACAGAGATTGTCTGGCGAGCTGAAAAGAAGACAGAAAGAGCTGAATCTATGTGAAATATTTCTGTGACCAATGAAAACCTTGTCTCCACAGAAATTAGCCGTTGAGCCAAAAAGAAGGAAAAGAAATTAGCAAGCCTATATGAAATTCCCTTTGATATAAAATGAGGAGAAATTTTTTTTTTTTTTAAATAATAAGAGAAGTGTGTTGGAAGTGATGTGAAATGCTTATTTTCTGTTCACCAGTTTTCACCAGTGTCAAATTACTCACCAATTATATTATCAGCTTTTAACCAAGCACGGAGTACTTCAAAGAACTTTCTTTCAGCAATCCAAGAAAGTTAAATATTTCAAACTCTCTTCATCTACTTTTGAACGTATGCAAACCATCTTAACTCTTAACTTTGTTTTAAACCTTTTTAATAATATTTTGTGTCAGATCATTTAATCTGATTTATGAACATTTCCTCTTCATGAAAATTCGTTAAAACGACAGACTTTAAAAAATTCTTATTTATTTTTCTGAAACGAACTATTGACATAATTTCAAATGTGTAAATTCATGAATAAATTCCTTATCTTGTTTTGTTAAAATTATCTATGTGTTTCCTCATCCTTCTTTAATCTTCTTGGCATGGGTAAATCAACTGTTCATTTTTAGCCCTAAGTCCCATGCCACAATGTAGTATCTGTCCAACTTTTTTTGTCAGTTGTCCCATTTCAACAATTTGTGGTACTGGTTTCTGGTCATTGAATTGCATATAGATGCATACCTAATGTAATCAGAACTACATTGTTAAATGCCAGGATTCCTTCTGAGTTTGGAATATTCCATGTTTTTTTGTCAATTTTTGTTTACCTGTGTTACCTGTCTGTCACTTTGTTGTTTACTGTTGTGTTTTCTTCACTGTTTGAACTGTTTTATTGTGTCTGATGGTCTCTTGAACAACAGCAAACAGCTTCACCATGGCCATCCAATAGGCCAAAAAATGATGCAGAGTAATATGCCCAGCTTCAACAGGATAAGTACCAACCATATGAAAAGGGGCTGGGTTACTCAACATTCCAGGGGCACTGGATGCAGATACTACAAGGACAATCTCCCTGTTGACAACAGACGTAAAAACCTGAAAAATTATTGATGTTAGCAGGGAAGCTATGGAGGAGCTACTGAATAGCATGCAAATCAAAAAGGTTGAACACCATGTAGGACATCCTGTTGGCAACCGAGGAGGAAACCGAATAGCTGGCTGCCAACATTCTCACTACCAAGACTGTCAGTTGATACCTCTGAGAACCAGCTGGGGGTCTTTTTCTCAAAGTATGGACAAGACAAGGATAACTCGTTCATCACAAGCAAAACTGGCATTTTGACTTCCAAGTGACAATGACCCGTAAGAGCTTTCTGGACATCCCCGATGTGTCACGGCTGGACAATATTTGTCATTGTGGAAAGTCATGACCCTCCTGTTGCTCCTCTGGTGTCACAAGGAACTTGTCAAACTTGTGCCCTAGTAAGAACCACAACCACAGTCACAACTGTCAATATTGAAAGATGCAGTGCAGTAGGAAAAGTTTATCAATGTCTTCGATGGACTTGGTGTTTAGAAGGAGGTCATGAGCATCCACTCCTCTCCAGCAGGAAAATCCTCAAGGAAAAATCCAAGCAGCAGCAGCAACCGAAGTCTCTGGCGAAGTCACCAACCAAACTGAAGGGGCAACAACAACAGCAGCATCAGTACAGACAGAAGCAACTTCAACTGCAATGAAAGAAGTATCAGCAGTAACAAGAGCAGTGTATGCAACAGCAATAGTAACGGCACCAGGAACAGCAGTGGCAAGAGCAAGACCAACAGCAAGAACAGCAGCAGGAATAACATCAACAGCAAGAACAATAGCAGGTAAGGACAGGAACCTCCCTTCTTCTTCTAGGGCTCCACTATATCCTTTCCTACAATCCATCTCTAAAAAGGAAAGGGCTTTCCCAAAGGGGAAGCAATTGAGACAGGAGCAGACATCATGTGAAGGGTCAAACAATTCAAAGCAATCTGCATCTGATCTGCATGATCCTTGAGTGTGTAAAAGACAATGATGAAACCACACTGATCAATTTGGATCAATTCAAAGTGTACAACAGGGTTGTATGTGTGACCTTCCATTTTGATATGCATGCAAATCAGAATACTGAAAATTTGTTTGCTTAAAATTTTTTTAAGTGATGTTCTCCTTATTCTTCTATATGCCATATCACTTCAATACATGGATGATCATGGTTATCCACAATTTGTTATCACTTGTAGCTCTTAACAATGTCATTTTACTATTCCCCCTAATCCCTGTTCTGTCAACTATTTATACAAGCCTGTTAGGTAGGTTATTCACTGCTTTCCTCTCTCACTTGCCTTCAACATGTCCTGTGACTATCAAATTTTTCAAAACCTCTTTTCACATTATATGCCCTATAACTGTCTCTTTCAGATTCTAAGTATAAGTGTCCTTTTTGTTTCCATTTTTCCTCACATGTTCAGTCTATGGTTTATTATTCAGCATTCTTCTGTAGAACCACATTTCTGTTGCCTCAATCTCTTCTGCATCTGTGAGGAGATTATCCAGCATTCACTGCCATATAGGACTGATATTACATAACAATCCAGTACAATCTGTTAAAACACTTTAAAATTTTTGTAGTTGCTTGATTTTGTCATCTTCAATTCATAGTTCTAATCTTGGTCTGTTCTTTTTGCTGTCAAGCATACATTCTATCTTCTTTACTACTTTCTGTATGAGTTCCTGCAGTATCCTTTCTATGCCAGCTATCAACACTGTGTCATCTCCATATCTAATGTTGTTAAGATTGTAGCCACCAATAATGAATCCTGATAAGACTTCTAATTCTCTCAGGATTGTCTCAGTGTCCAGTGAGAAAACACATCTTTGTCTCATGCCCATTTCTGTTCTTGGATATTTACTCAATTCATTTTCTATCCGTATTCAGGTGATTTGCTCCCAGTATAAGTTCTAGATTATTCTAATATCCTTCCTAAATAAATCAAGCTCACCTAGCATTTCCAACAGGTCTTTCTGATATACTTTATTTGCATAATCTATAAAACATATATACATTCTTTTGCATCTACATTGCACTTTCTGATATCATTCAGAAAATTTAATATCACATTACTTGTTCAAGTGTCTTTAACAAAACCGCACTGTCTTGTCCTATTTCAAGTCTAATTCTGCTGCATGCTCCATGTATCAGAATTCAGCACCAGTTTTTAAAACATTAAACAATTCTTCTGCTGGGTTTATTTTGTCCCAACTTGGTAGACATAAGTCCATTATGATAAACTTTTTTTCTATATGGTTTGATTTTGCTCCAGCTTGGTGGGTATTAGCTTCATTATAAATAATTTTATTAATTAATAATACAAAATAATTAAAAATAATAATTAATTAAAAAGTGTAAATAAACAAATAAATAAATATTATAATTGTCTAGGTTTATCTTATACACATACTTTTAGAGAAGTGTATTTAAAAACAACAGACAGTTTATGAAAAAATTGATACATTTGATTGTAAATTTTTTTTATTTTTAGAGTTGGCTATTGAAAAATCACCAAAATGAATTTAGTAAAGGCTGATTGTTTCAATTTCATTTTTTAAATTAAAAAAGATATGTACAATTTCCGTTTATTATCCAATCAAAAATGTGGGCTTGTGCCCATGTAAGTTTGAAATTAAAGTCTATCTGGAGCCTCTTTGTTTCATATATAAAGAGAAGGAACAGCAGATAAGCTTCAGAAGGTATTCAAAATTTAATGAAGAATGTA